TTTAGTCTTGTGGCTCAACCTACTATTGTCGGACGAGTGATTGAGTCACAGAGACAGGATCCAGATTTGGATGCCATTCACGCTTTGATCTCCAGTGGTGAGATAGTGAAGGATTGGACCTTACATGCAGATGGGGGTCTACGGTTTAAAGATTTGTTGGTTGTCCCCACGGTTTGTTGTGAAGATGTTCTTCGGGAGTTTCACATTTCCTGCTTTGCAGTTCATCCAGGTGGTAAAAAAATGTATCACAATTTGAGACGTCAGTATTGGTGGAACGGGATGAAGAAGGACGTTACGCATTTTGTGGCTAAGTGCCGTACCTGTCAACAGGTGAAGGCCGAGCATCAGAGACCGGCAAGGTTGTTGCAACCATTAGCTGTAGCACAATGGAAATGGGAACAGATTGTGATTGATTTTGTGACAGGTCTTCCAAGGTCACGGAGAGGCAACGAGGCCGTATGGGTCATCATTGATAGATTGACCAAGACGGCTCACTTTTTGCCTATTAAGGCAACAGATGATGCAGAGACACTTGGCGTTCTTTACGTGAAAGAGATTGTAAGGTTACATGGAGTCCCAGTAACCATTGTTTCGGACAGGGATGCTAAGTTCACTTCGAAGTTTTGGGAAGGACTTCAAACAACGTTTGGTTCAGCGTTAAATCTTACCACGGCATTCCATCCACGGACAGACGGCCAGTCGGAGCGTACTATCCAGATCTTGGAAGATATGCTCCAAGCATGTGTGCTTGACTTGGGTGGCAGTTGGGAAGATCATTTACCACTCATTGAGTTTGCCTACAACAACAGTTATCAAACGAGCATTGAGATGGCTCCATTTGAGGCGTTGTATGGCAGACCTTGTAAGTCTCCAGTTTGTTGGACTGACGTAGGTGAGACAGCTGCCTTAGGACCCGATATTGTACTCGAGACTACCGAGAAGATCAAATTAATCAGATAGAGGTTGCTCACAGCTCAGAGTCGATAGAAGAACTATGCAGACAAGCGGAGACGACCGATAGCTTTTGAAGAGGGAGACCATGTTTTTCTGAGGGTTTCTCCACGGAAGGGTTTGATAAGGTTTGGGAAAAGTGGCAATTGTCGCCACGATTCATTGGACTATTTGAGATCTTGGACCGTGTAGGAGAGGTTGCTTACAGACTCGCTTTACCAACGCAGATGGACAAGGTTCATAATGTTTTTCATGTGTCGATGTTACGGAAGTATGAACCAGATCCATCTCACATTTTGGATTGGGTCGATGTGGACATTGATGAAGACATCTCCTATCAAGAGGGACCAGTGCAGATTCTTGACACACGGCAGAAGGTGTTAAGAGGTAAAACGATGTAGTTAGTGAAGGTTCTTTGGAGGCACCACGGAGTCGAGGAGGCTACTTGGGTGCTTGAACAGCATGTTCGCTCCAAGTATCCAGAGTTGTTCTCTTCCCCAGGTACGGCTTGATTTCAGGGACGAAATCCTTTTAAGTTGGGGAGATTGTGATGTTTCTAATTTTTCAGCATTTTCATTTTCCAATAATTCGTGGAGACAAGGGGTATTTCTGTCTTTTCACATGTTGTGTTCAGGATTGTGGTCGGGTCTAGTTACATTTTGTGCATTTAATTTTATATGATTTATGTAGCATTCATGTGGTGCATTTTTGTGTGTGGTGTAAGAATTGAAATAAAAGAAAATGGAAAAGGGATTCATAGTGGAGGGGCCTACCACTATCTCAAATAAGTGGCTAGAGACCATTTTTGGTCTCTCACTCATTCTCTCTCCCCCCTACTCTCTCTCCCACTCTCTCAAACTTGCATTTTCTTTTTCTTTTTCAAGCCAATCTTTGAGACTTGATTACTCTCTCATTACTTGTCGGAATTGGGTGCCGTTTGAGGCAAAATGTCGAGCACATCGAGCTCTATGCATCCATACCTGAAATTCTAGATTTGGTGCCCTCCTTGGAGTTAGAATTTGAGGACCCATTTCAAGGGTTTTGTCCATTTTCGAGGTAGGGGCCCTTAATCCACTTCCTTCTTGTTCCATTGTGAGTTATATCTCCTTTGTGTGATAAACATGCTTAAATTGAGAGTTAATTGTTTCAATGTTGTGTAATTGATGTCTAGAGAAATTCACGATTTTGATTATGATTTGTTCGATGTGAAAAGCATGTTGTGGTGATAGTTTTGTTGTGTTTAATGTGTTGATGACCCAAATGATGACGTTGAATATGATATATGCTTAGTTGTGAAGTAATTATGAAATGTAAAACTTCTACATGCCATAATATTGTAAGCTTGAGACACATATACATGTACATGCCATTGGGTTGCATGAAATAGGAGAAATCAGTTTTTGAAATAAAAACGGGAATTTTGGGAGAAGAGTTTTTGTGAAATGGTTTTGATAAACCCTGTCGCTGCGGGGTTACCAACGGGCCGGAGGTTAATATAGCTTAAAGGGGACTAGGGAGTCGCCCTAGCGTGGTTGAGCTAGCTGGGCCCCATAATGACGTCGCGGGGTTACCAAGGGTCAGGGACACTAGCCAATCCTCCTCTCGTGTCGCAGCGGGGTTACCAAAGGGTGGGCTGTATTAACAATTGGAAAGTATGGTTTTGAGAAATGAAAAATGGGGAGTGACATATCATGTATTGCTTTTCATTGCATTGCATTGTTTACAATTGGAATTGACATTGAAGTTGTTTTAACCCTACATTGCATGATCCCCATTTCCCATTGGCCTATGCATTGATTGGATTCACAAAGACACAAGATGTGTGTCTTAAGTGTCACCTACTGAGCATATAGCTCACCCTACTATATATTATTTTTTACAGGTCTTGGAAAAGAACCCGCGGATGCCAATCCACCTCAAAATTGAAAGTTGTTAGAAGATGAATTTTTGCTATCTTGTATTTAGCTATTTGATGTGTAATTATAGTTTTGGGAATGTAATTAGATTTGTGAATGATCCTTGAGAAAATGTAATTGAGTATTACTCGCTCAAAATCAGTTTTGTGTATTTTAAGTAACGTGTTGTAAATTACGTTACCAACGTGGTGGTTATTATTACAATTTGATGTTGAAGCATAACTTATTTTGGACGTGAATGTAGTGGCGGGGTGGTTAATTACCAAGTGTTGGTGTAAGTGAGTTATCACTGGACAGTGGGAGGTGGGAGTGCAATTTTCCCAGAATCGGTCGACATGTGGCCTCCCAAATGTCGACCGGTATGTTGGCAGAATGGTCCCATACGTCCCAAACCAGTCGACCGGTATCCAAACCAGTCGACCGGTATCCATTATAACTTATGTTCAGAACGAGTCGACTGGTATCCCAAACCAGTCGACCGGTATCTTGGCAGTGGTTATTACCACTGTTCCTAACCCAAACCAGTCGACGTTTGATGCATATACGTCGACCGGTTTACGTCACATATGTAATTACAAATTTTAAGTTCTTATAATTTTATTTTGGGCCCAAATGATGTTGCACGTAATTATTTTATGACCCACCAAAATGAAATAATTATATTTTTGCCCCAAAAGGACTATTTTACCTCGGACCTCATTTTAATTATTGTGTGATACACGTAAATGACTATGACGTCCTTTGGGTCTTAATTTATTGAAATATGGCAAATTACCATCTTGCCCTTTTTGGAACTCAACATTTTAATTTAACGTGAAATTACCGTTTCACCCTTGGATGTTTTTGGGCCGGGTTAGGACCCGTTTAATGATCCGGATCCATGAGGAGCTGGGTCGTTACACATAGATGCATCATGCCATGTCCAAGTTCCTCATTCCATAACTAACTCAAACTTAATTAATATATCATGATTCACAAGAATTTTCAAGTAAAACTACAACATGCTTTCATACAATCGAGATCTAGCATGATAGGCATATAAAAATCAACATTTAGGCATGCTCTTCGCATGGGTCAATTAATACACATAACTACACATCAACGTGTATACAACAACCAAGTAATTTGCTAGATTTTACACAAATCAATCATGCTAGACAATAATTCATAAAGGATTATGAACTTTATACATTACAACACAATTATTCTAGGATAATTATCATCAATTGGACAAATTAACAACAATTTCATAAAATTAACTCACAAAGGAACAAGAAAATGTGAGTTAGAGACCCCTACCTCAATCTAAGCCAAGAGCCCCAATTTTCACCTCAAATCCTCAAAATGGGTCTCAATTTTTGGACTCCCTAGAGTGGCCAAAAGCTGAAATTGTTGGTACGGATTTGAAGATCTCGTCGTGGGCTTCAATTTGCCGCAAACGGCATCCGAAATTTCCAAGAGATGAGTAAGAAATCAAGAGTTGAAATGGTAGAAAAATAATAAAAGAAGAAAAGCAAGGAGAGACAGAAAGAGTTCAGTCCTGAAGCTGAAGAGAAAATGGTCACAAAATGATACTTGGTGATACAAAATGTGTTTAGTGCTTTATGGGGCTCACTCAAAAAAAAATCAAAAAAACAAATATCCCTTTTATACTTTTGCATAAATTAATAAACATTACATACGTCACCAATGACATTTCAAATATGAATAAAGAAGATAAAGAAAGAATTGACTAATAACAGAGACATCCTGCAGGGACCAGTTTTGGTTCAATTAATTGATTTCACATTATCATGATCTTAAGTTGATATATTTCATATCATGATGATCTTCAATAAATGATTAAAATATATAAAAAAATCCAAGACAAAATGGCATTTATACTACTGGAAGGAACTGAGAAATTTGGACTCATTCCAACATGTACTAGTTTTATGTGTAAAGAAAATAATTTTTGTAATAGAAACCAGGAATCCTTGATGTTGCATTAAAAGGGATGGATTCATAAAAAACGTTGCCTAGCATAATCTTTCATGAATCCAAAGCTATGCTATACTTCATCTGTGATGTTGTGCTGACAAGGGTATATTAAAGGACAATGCAAAATATTATCTTTAACAAATCCATCTTCTATATTATACGTTAAGGTCGTTGCCTATGTAAATATTCTAAGTTCATGTTGCTATGGACAACAAGATGAAGCTAGGACCAAGGGAAATACTTGTACCAGTGCAATTGTTGTTGTGAGGACACCCTCATCAGTGATCATCAGCAACTTGGATTTTAAGGAATCTAATTTTCTTCGATCCTTGTGAATATGTTTTTGTCGTTGTATCAAACTTCTGCAATAAATTAGTAGATTTTGTTGTTCTAATGCCCATTACATTAACACCTATTAGTCATCAGTCTTTATCCTGAAAATAAAATATCCAATTTTTTTCCTGTAATGATTCAGAATTCTGGAGCTTGTGGTTGGCTAGTTGTAGCATACAAGCCAGAAAGATGCGATTCGGAAACTATAGTTAGTACCTATGTTTCTCTCCCCTCTTCATAACCATCTAAATCCTTTTACAATTCAGAAGATAGAAATCAAGATTCAATAGGATGGTAAAACTTATTTCAAGCTGGTGTAAAGATGTTCAATCCATACCCAAAAATTATGTACAACCACCCGATTTAAGACCAGGGGAGCTCATTTTTCCTGTAAAGAGTGGTCCGGTAGTTGATCTCAGCAAAGCCTTAGGACAGGATCGGGCTGGAACAATACAACAAATTATGCAAGCAGGCCAGGAATTTGGATTCTTTCAGGTTCAATTTTCCATTCCATTCACAACTTAGTGATCAAACATATCGATCACATTCAATTGGATGGTTCTAATTAAATAATTTATTATAAAATGTTAACGAAAATTCTGTGAAGCAGGTGATCAACCATGGTGTTTCGGGAAGTTTAATGCAGGATGCGAAGAGTGTGTTGAAGGAGTTTTTTGACATGCCAGACGAGGTCAAGTCAAGTGTCTTCACTCCAGATGCCAGTAAGAAGTGCAGGCTCTACAGTAGTAGTGCTATTTATCTCAATGAGGAGATTCTTTATTGGAGAGATAATTTGACACACCCTTGTCATCCTTTAGAGGATTGTGTGCAACTTATGCCTGGAAAGCCTACAAGATACCGGTAAAAGAGTGCAGTTTCATTAGTCATCATACTTTGTGTGTAACAATTATAATGTAGCATGATAAAGCTATATGCTTAATGGCTTGTCAAAAACTAACTTAGATAACTAAATAATGGTTTTCATTTTCTCTCCTGTAATTATTAGAGAAGTTGTTGGGACATATTCAGTTGAAGTGAGGAAGATGATCATGAGGATTTTGGATCTGATTTGTGAAGGACTGGGACTAGAACTTGGGTACTTTGGAGGTGACCTGAGCAAGTTTGAGCTACTAGGAACTAATCTTTACCCTCGGTGCCCTGAGCCGAGCCTCGCCTTGGGAACTCAAATACACTGTGACCCTAACCTCGTAAGTATTCTAAATCAAGGAGGTGTCAGTGGGCTTCAAGTCTGTAAAGATGGGGAATGGTTTCTTGTTGAGCCTATTCCTAATGCATTTATGTTTTTAATTGGCTGCCAGTTACAGGTATATCTTCATCCCTTGGTTAAAGTTCAAATTCTAGCTAGTCTCTTTTACTGAAAATGTACATATTACAAATATTTATCATAAACATAATATTTATTGAACATTTTTTCGGCAGTTATGACTACATTTTTTATATGAACCTGCATACTACATAGGTTATAGGTCATTCATAGATTTTATTCAGTTGCTAATATGCAAAATGATTAATAATATTTTTCTTTTGGAGTATAGATTATCACTAATGACAAGATCAGAGGTGTGGAACATCGAGTGGTGACAAATTCGAAAGAGGATCGGATTAGTATTGGCTATTTTGTTCTCCCAACTTATGAATGCGTTATAGAGCCTGCAAAAGCTCTGGTCAGTACATGCAACCCACCACTTTATAAAACCTTGCAGTACACAGATATTCTTAAAGCCTATGCTGAGAAAAATGGTAGCCATAGAGGTATGATGGAGAGTCATAAGCTTCAAGTTGAGTAATGGTGTTTGAAAGGGAAGTGCTATATATGATCTGAGTGTATCTTATCTTGTTGCAAGTAAATAAAGATGTGGTCTTAGTGTTTGTGCTAGAGGGATTGTGGCCACATAACTGAAATGTAATCGTCTTCATATATTTCAATAATGGTTGCTCTTCAAATCCACTGTGAGATTTTAATATTATTATTCTTGTGACTTTTATTTTACAACAATAAAATGGGAACATGAAAAGGAAAAAAATAAAATAAAAAATTTGACATAAAAATCTCCGTACTCTGACCATGTATTTGTTTAGCATAATCAAATATGTGAAAATGGTAATATGCACTGTTTGGTAGGCCTGAAGAATTAACCAACCTTCGCTTATTTCTCAGTGTAGCCAACGACATATAATTAGGGACAATATTTAGATTCTCACTAGTTAAGATTTACAATGTATTTACTGTTGATGATGTGGACCAATAATAAATGAATACGTCCTATTTTAATTACTAAATCATAGATGGTAATCAAATCATTATCTCTGATTTGGTTAGTGAATATCTACCCACCATTTTTAATTTGATAATTAAAGATTACATGTCAATTTATTAATGGTCCATATCAACGGTGAGTATGTTGTAAATCCTCACTAGTAAAGATATAAGTATTGTCCATAATTAAAGACAATACTTGCATACTCACTGGTGAGTAGAAAGTTTATACTTATCTTGATGTAACACAAAATTAATGAAAAATGTGCCACTACAATATAAAATAATAAAAATTAAAAGAATTAAGAGGTTATCCGGATTAAATCCAATATGAACTAAGTATAACTCTCTCTTCTCTTTCTCAGGCTACTCTTTTTGTCTGGGGAGTGAATGCAAAGGGAAATCTTGTAAAAAAAAAAAAAAAATTAAACTAAAATTTTTAAATAAAATAATATTACAATATACAAACAAAATTTTGGAATAATTATAAATGTAATGATATGTACATAGATGTTTGTTGCAAAAAAATAAAAAGTTAAAAAATAAATAAATAAATAAATAAAGAAGAAGAAGAAGAAGAAGACAATAAATAAGCAATACCAATCTATCCTGCAATCAACAAGCCATCTATCAATCCTTGTGAACTAGATTTTATGTAATTGGGTGTACTTTAGATAAAAACAATTGATAAGTATATATAAGGATTACACATCAGCCATGAAAGATAAAAAGTAAAAACTTCCAATATTACCATATTAGAGTTTCACCAGAGTAGTTTGAGAGAGAGAAAGAGAATAAGATAATTAAATTAGGATTTGATTTGCATTCTTTTGGGTTGACCTAGTAAGCTTTCAATTATTTTTTTTAATTTTTATTATTTTCTATTTTAGGGATACTTGTCACATTACTTTTCCGACACATCATGAATAAGCATGAACTTCCAGTACATTGGTGAGTAGGCAAGTATTGTCCATTAATTAGAAGGCCCATTCACTCAAATAAGTATTTTCAGTTTGATATGGTAGCAGAATAGCAAACAAAGTTGCCCATTTTTTAGCCTAATTTGCTACGAGTGTTCGAAAAAATATAAGTGAGATTGAGATTTTGCCTTCTGATGTTAAGAGAGCTATGGTTTTGGATTGTAATTCTGGTTTTTCCGGGGAGTAAATCTTTGATCTTTGCCTTGGAAAAAAAAGCCCTCAACCTCATTGTACTTATTTTTCATCATTGAGCATATGATTTTAATTTAGAAATGCATAGCCTTCATTAAAGTCATTGATGAAAATGGAAAAAATCAACATTATTATTATTATTATTATTTGGTTTAAATTGAACCGAAAATAAGCCCATAAAGGTGTAGTTTGTTGATAAGTGCTCAAATGTGACACATTTTAGCACCAAAGTTAGGGTATTTTTGTCACGACCCGAAAATTCTAACAAAATCCTCAATTTATACAAATCCAGATACATCAAAATACCCCCAGAATCATAAAAAAAAAAAAAATTGCCCTCTTTTATACAAAAATCAATTTCCTCAAATATACACAAAAATCTCCAAATAAATAAAATAAATTTCGCAACGTCGACTCTTCCACCTAAGCCTGAATCTAGCAATCTCCGTTCATCTTCAGTACCAGAAACTGGAGGGTGGTGAGACAAAAAGTTTTAGTAAGAAAAATCATAACAAGAATTTCATGGAGGTTTAACAAAACAACTTCACAAAATATACATATTCATATGAGTATATAAACAAAATAAATATGCAATTAATCAAAACATTTAATAAGACCATTGAAGCAAAACCACCCCATGCCATTCAAGGTATAGAGAACCCCACCCTGAAAAAGATTTTTCCTCACTAAATCATCAAAGTCTCAAGCCTCCGGCCTCCTCTGCAACTTCTTGGACCTCTCTCTGTCTTTCTAACTCTCGGCTCACTCTTTACCTTCTCTCTAATTTCTATCTCTGTTCTCTTTCTTAATTTTCTAATTTCTCTTCTTGTCTTTCAAATGACTTAGTGGCACACAACACACATTAAATAGGCAAATACACCGACCTCACACAAATAATCAACCACGAAACCCACGTGCACAATTCAAGCCCAAGTAATCTTGCCCAAAAAGTCAACTAGTGGGACCGACACATCATCACTTACTTTCCCAATACAAAATCTTCACTCCGTCAGACCACTCACATGAAGCTCAAGATTTTTGGTAAAATAAATTCCTATGGGCCCGCTTATAACATCACCATTTCCCACTCAATCCTATCACAATTCAACCTTTACAAAAAAATAAATAAATAAAAATAAAAATCAGGAAATATAACTTAAATAAAAATCTTAAAAATCCAGATTATCATAGTTTTAGTCCATTTATCTATCTTACTTTCATGTCTTAGTACTTAATTGTGTTTTTGCTTATTTCAGGCCAATAAAGTTCAAACAGGCAAATAAGAGCCATTTAGCTCAATTTTAGAGCTAAGGAGCAAAGTTGGAAAGAAACCAAGAAAATGCACCAAAGGAACTTCGATCAATCGAAGGGAGTCCCGATCGATTGAAATGTGGCGGTGCCAGCTTAGCGTTTTGGATTGGGCCAAAGAAGAAATTTTCGAGCCATGTCAACTTCGATCGATCGAAGCTAAGTGTTTGATCGATTGAAGATCTTCGATCGATCGAACTGCCTGCTGGCAGTGTGGTATCTAATTCTCGAGCGCGCCAGTTTCTACCTAACTTGCATAGCTGCGAATTTCATCCGATCATAGGCTGTATTTCTGACTTGGTGACTAAGAAAAGAGGCTTGTAATGAATTAATTGAACATTATTATGAGGAATATCATAGAGTTTTATCGTACCAATTATAGAAATAATTTCTCTCTCTAAAACTAGGGTTTTGGGAAGAAAGCAACGATGAAGATAATGATGCCAACCTCCAAGCTAGCCCTTAAGGGTTCCATGACCACTTCAATGAGTGGCTAAATCCTTCTCTTGGGGCTAGAGATAGCCCCTAGGCTTACTTTCTAAATGTAGCTTTTGTGTATTTTTGGGAATTTTAGTTGTAATAGATGTTTTGACAATGAATAAATATTGATCTTGTGATTTTTATTTGATTTGTATGGATTAATGCTTCCAATTGACCATTTAGTTCTATCCATATGTCTATGTATGCTTGAATTAATGTTCATGTTTTTATCTCTAGATTCAATAAAATTGATACATGTCTATGTGCGTTAATGTTGTTAATCTAGTGATGGTCAAGGTATGGTGCTTAATTGAACACTCTTGTGGTTTATTTGATGGTTCATACTTGTTTCTTTATGGATTGTGCGACACACTTAGTTTAATTAGTTTAATTTTCATGTCTCTAACCTAGTTATAGCGTAATTGCTTTAATTTCTCAGATAGGTGGACAATTTATTCTTGTTGCTTGATGTTCTATACTTATAAGTGCAAATAGTACATCTCTTTAGATTATTATGTGTGCATTAACTGTGGTTTAATTGAATGGTTATTGGTCTCATTTGATGGATTATGTTAGTTACTAGATTAACTAGACAATCTATACTTATTTGCCATCCATGCTTAGTTTTCAATTAGTGACACACACATACAAACATATTACAATTTGAATTTCCCCATTAATTTATAATTGCTAATGTTTCATGAAGTGAAGTTTAGTGGTGAGCTTCAGGCCCCAAGGCCTCTCTCTCATATATCTTTCCCTAAATTCTAGATTGTTACTCTCTTGCATTGTTTTAATTGAATGTTAGTTTAATTAATCAATCAAACCATCTTTTAATCATTCGACCTACTAATCCAACAATTGATTCCAAAACACTCTTCCTTTCCATTGGGACGATCCCTACTCACTCTAGCTATACTAATAGTTAGTAGTGGCAGTGGCATTCTATAAATTCAAAATTGGCCACGTCTTTTCACTACACCAATTTGGGTGCATACGACAACTGAGCATACCAAGTTTTGGCACCGTTGTCGCGGATAGGCAACGCCGTATTTTCGAAACAATTAGGAATTAGTAATCTTTTGATCGTGTCTTTATTTTATTTTATTTTGGTTACTTATTGTGTTTATTCTTAATTAACTCGGTACATTGAGCCAAGAGAAGTGATGCAAAAGGATTCTAAAGTAAAGAGGCAAGCTAAGCTAAGCTAAGCAAAAGTATAAAAAGCTAAAATAAAAAAATAAAATAAAAAATTGCAAAGCAAAGCAAGGCAAAGAAAAAAAAAATTGAAAAATAATTTAAAGTTGCTTAAGGACCCTTTGTGAGCTTTTCTAACTCTCTCTAATTAAATCGTCGACCCGCGTGGAGGTAAATTTTTAATTTTTTAGATAGATCGTGAGCCCGCATGGAGGCAATTTTATTTTTCTTGCATATTGTTGAAAGCATGGGAGTATGAGATCAATGTATGTGGAGGATTGTTGTTGATTGACTTGTTGCGGAGGAGAAGTGTTTGCTACGTGCTTCTTGTTGTTTATTTATTTTGATTGTGCATGCATGGTTGTATGTCATTAAATCCTACTCTTGTCCCATTAAATTTGAATCTTGAATCTACTGTTCATAATTCTAAGGGAAGGGGTAATTCTTATAACTCCATTTCATCAATGGAGGAACATAATGAGGACCATGTGGAAGACCTTGGTCACATCGACCAACAAGGTATTCTTTACCCTAATGTGCATCATGACAACATTCAAGTACCATTAGGCATACCAAGACCTTTCATGTAACAACCCAAACCCGAGGGCCCGAATAGCTAACCAGGTCTTTACCCGAACCTGAGGTCAACTAAAGACGTTACCGTCCTTTCCTATAGCAATACATAATAGACGTGTTATCCCAGGGTTTATAAATAATAATAATAATAATAATAATAATAATAATAAGATGAGATC